ATTGCACAGACAAAATTCTCTTTTTTATGTGGTGAAAATTTTGTTTCTTAGTTATAACTGTATCTTTYTMGGTTCTTTCCCGCGCAAAACAGTTTTTGCAATGTTACGCACTTGTAAGACGGAGACAACACATACGTGTGAAACGTCCTCTTAACGGCGCGGAATACCGTTCGAAGGCTACCTACATGATAATGTACCAAAATTGCCTATGCAACGCGCCAGACGGCGCATAAATATTAATATATCAAAATAAACCTGTAGATTCTGATGGCTGTCAACGTAAAATCACMTGTATAAAATACAACAATACAATACAATTGCTTATTTTGATCACAATAAAAAAAGCTAAAAGTATATTATGAATATTATCACGTCATGAATGTCTAAAATTTTAATACACCAATGTGCGTTATACGTAAGTAATGTATTTTTTTTTTTGAAAATAATATTTAACACGCACGCTATTGACTACTTAGTCTTCCATACAAAAAATGGTATAAGCATGTCAAATTTTCAAAAACGCTCACAATCGCGAACAAATAGACAAAGATAAAATAAACCATGTATCAAGTTCTAATTTAAAAAATGATCGATTGTAACGTACCTATATGTACCTTATGTGTATTCTACTAAACTAAAATCGATCACCCAAAAATCATTCTAACGTAATCTAGAATTTGGATTGTATTCTTAATAGTATAATTTAATCGATACAATACATTATTTAATGTAATATATAGTAATAATATTATGTTTTAAACTGCCGGGCAACTCCACGTAATCTGTGAAACTCCTCCCGTCCGCTCAGTGACTACTGAGTACAGACGTACAGTGTCAGTGCCTTTGATCCTTATATGCATGAAATTACCATAGCTCCGTAGCTTATATACTGATCATACAATTTTCAATAAACATTGTAACATCTCGCACGGGGCCATGCCCAGATTCGGCGTGGAGTGCACATTGACGAGGCTAGCATAGGTCGCCAACCCACAGCCGAGATTCGGAAACCGGAGCATATGGGATTTTTTTTTTACATATAAAATGAATAAGTGACTCGGAAAAGGGGAAAAAGTTAAAAAAAAAAAACATAGATATGGGGAGTGATTATTTAAAGTATATTAGGAATAAAATTTTAATTTATGACCAAGAAAAGCCATACGGCA